ACAAGAAACTTAATTTATTATCCTTATTTTCCTTTATGTGCCCTTAGAAGGTAAAGAAACTTCTAGTTAATTAACTCAAACATTTAATGTCATAATTCAATTGAAGCAATACCTGATGTGTTTTGGAATTGTAATGGGCCTTATTGTTATCGTATGTCTCATTTATATTAAATAAATATTTTTAAGATTCTGCAGAAAGAATCATCAAGAAAACAAGCACTCAGTTCATTTATTGGTTCAACCAGTATTTGTCAACTGTTTCCACGTGCTAGGCAGGGTGCTTAGGTATTTGAATTTCAGAAATCATCAAGGTAAATCCAGTCTCTTATCTCAGACAGTTCTGCATTATACAGAAAATAAACAAATATCTCAGAAAGTTTTAACTGGAGGGAACAAATAGCTAACTGTAAGTAGGCAAAACAGTAAGTCAACTTATTAGCTCTCCTTAGAACACTGCTGAGGAGAAGGCTGAGCTTCAGGTCTGCTGGATCCCGTGGTCCGGGTCTCTCCCTCAGGGAACCAGCCCCTTCCATCTCTATGTTTGTCATCTTTCACAATGTCAGCCTCATTCCAAAACTGGTTTCCTCGTGGCTATGGGATGGTGGGCTGTGACATTTTGAGCTTCATGCTTTCTTGTTTATTTGGGATGCACTGGGACTTCTCGTGGTTCTTTTAAGATCAAGAAAGGACTTTTCCAGAAGTCTCCAGCAAACCTGTCTTGGTGTTTCATTGACTATAACTGGATCATACACCTATTCTTGACAAAATCATTGGCAAAAAGAATGGAGTTAATCTTAAGGCAGTCAGGCCTCTTGGAACAGAAGTGGGGATGAGCTTTTCCTGGTGCATATACCTGGAAAAAGAAATGTCCTTTTACTGGAAAGAAAGAAAATAGGAACAGCTTCTGCAGAGAAAGCAATATCCACTACAGTAATAAAACAAACTATGATTGAGTGTGGGTAATGTTTAGGTTGCTGTGAGTGAGGAATGACATCTTTGCCATTTTCTTTTTAATGTCTTCTAGGATGAGAGTGGCACTGAACCTGTTAGTAGTGAAGAAGACGGCAGCCTCGAAGTTGGTTCTAAACAATTGTCTGACAGTGAGACCTCCAAATTGGTGAGAATCCTGGTGGCTTCCATCCAGTGTTCTTTTTAGGGGTGTATTATTTATATTTTGTGCCACTTTGGGAAGGATCAACTGTTGTGTTTTCTCCTCTAGGAATCTTAATCTCTGAGACAGGGAGCTATTCCATATACTGTATGACTCATTCACTCCAAAGAACACCACACCCTCCCCCTGTCTTCACACTTGAGTGGTGCTGTCTGGGACTAAAGAAGCAATCTCTCTTATAAATCTTTTTAAATAATGGGTGTCTTCAAGCGTAGGACAAAGCTGAATTAATCCTAGAAACATAGAAAGAGATGTTAAATTTATTACATTGATTCATAGGAAAATATACATAATCTCACCCAGGGGCTGGGATATTAGGAAAGAGGCAGCTATAGAGATCTCTTCCTCCTTATGTATCCTATTGTTTTATGTTTTCTTTTTTTTCAATTTTTTGAAAGATTTTATTTATTTATTTTTAGAGAGAAGGGAAGGGAAAGAGACAGAAAGGAAGAGAAACATCATTGTGTGAGAGAGTCACACAGCCCCCAACTGCAGACCTGGCCCGCAACCCAGCCATGTGCCCTGACTGTCCTTTTGGTTCACAGGCTGGCACTCAGTCCCCTGAGCCACACCAGCCAGGGCAATATTTTTTTTAGTGTTGATTGAACTTCTATGTACCAGACATTTCCTGATTCTAGTAATGTAGGTAAAGATAACTTACTTTTACACATGAGGAAACTGAGAGTTAGAGATGTTAACTGATGTGCCAGAGGCTACTCACTGGCATGTGGTAGGCCTGGAGATTGGCCCCATTTGGCCTAACTCCCTTGCCTTTGCTCATAACCTACCTTTTTACTTAGCAGCCTAGCACTTTCAGGGTTAGACTTCAAGTTCCAGAAAGAAATATGGGCCTTTTTTCTCTTTGTTTCAAAATAACTTATAAGTAATCTCAAACAATTACTCACTTAGAAGGATCATCCTGATTTTATGACAGCACAGATTTGTTTATTTTACTTCAGGGAGTTTGAGAAACCATCCATTTATCTTCTTTCAACTTTCAGAAAATATATATTGGGACTGGTGTAGATTCCATGTTCTAGAAAGTGAACTGGGTCTGTCCAGATGAGGGGAAAGGACATTTCAGCAAGAGTGGAAATTTCAATGGGCCCCTCTTGGACAAGTCCTACTCGGGACCTAAGGACTCTAGAATCAAGAATGCTGGGGCTAGAACAGCTTGTGACCACTGTTCTTAAACAAGATGTTCTGAGTTTGCACTTGTTCCCTTTCTGGGAGATAAACTGTATATTTGAACTGAGGGGGAATGATTGACATGGACAAATTTCAAACTCAAAGCTCCTTCATTTACAAATACTATTAACTTCTTTTTCTTGATAATATAGCTCCATAGATAGGTTAAAGAAAAGTCTTTTAAAGCAACAGCATTGTTTTTGTGGGGACTTTTTGTAAGTAGTGGCCCCCAATTTCATCCACAGACGAAGTGGTCAAAATGGCGAGAACACTCTCTCACCTGCTAGAAGGGCCTGGTAGTCCCAAGAGGCTCCCTTGTAGGCCACAGACAGGAGCCACCCTTCATTCACACCCTGCTCCCAAGAAAGCAGTGCCAGTGACAGGGCTCTGAGTCTCACGACAGCTGAAGAGCCCCACACTCAGGTGGAGGGCCTGAAGGGTAGAGGATAATTTTTTATATGTTGTTTCACTGTATTTCCCCCAAGAACAAGAGCCTTCCCCCAACCCACTGACTTGTATCTTTCTTTCTCCCCTCCTGACCCTTCCCACCTCCCTCTCTTTTTGGGATTCTGTGGTCTCTTTCTCACTGTTTTCAATAGAATCTAGGCTTGGTCTAGTCAATTGAGGAAAGGTAGCCTGAGTTTGAGCAACTTTTATAGCATAAACATAGTTGGCCTGGTATAAAGTATTGGTTAAGAGTATGGCATTAGGCAAATTAACTTCACCAAGCCTCAGTGTCCTTACCTGAAGAATAACAGTAATCAGAATATTACAAAGAAACAACAGTAATCAGGATGTTACGAAGAAACAATGTAGTAGAGTATAAGAAAAATAGTGTTCAGTAAGTTCATTCATTCATTCAACAAATATTTGCCTGATGTCACTATTGATGTCACTATGCTCCAGGCACTGGAGATACAACAGTGAACAAAATGTATAAAAATGCCTGTCTTTGTGGGGACTCCTTTCAGGGTAGGCAGAGGGGAGGAAGATAGATACTACATAAATTAGCAAAACATTTGATTGAATTATATGAAATTGCTGTTTTTGTAGGTAAAAATTTCATACAGCTAACATATTCATGAGTGTTGCCTTATTATAAAGTATTAGTAGTTTATCACCACTAGGCATCATATGATTGCTTCTGTTGTAAGATTGGTGCGAGTTCCCCTGCACTGTGCCCATTCTAGGAATGCTGCTGGACGCACCATGTCAGAGGACACCACGTGACTCTTTTTCCATTAGTTTATGTCGAGATATTTGGCAACAGTAAGCTCTAACCCTCTAACGTTGCTTGCTTGCTCCCTGTGGGAGCACATGTCTCAGTAAGCACTGCACTGGCTTCTGGAGGGATGACCAGGAGACACGGGCCTCGCTTAAGCAGCTTACACTCTAGCATCAGTGAGGATAATGGAATTTGTGTCTGGAAAATCAAACCAGGCAGAAGTGTATTAGAGAGAGAGGGAGAGAGACACACACACAATGTTACAGAAGTTTAAAAATGAAAGGAAAACCATCTCATTCAGGGATTAAGGAGAATTTCTTAGAATCGTGGCCTTTAAACCTGTAAAGATGAGAAGGCAATTGACTGTTGAAGTTGCCATAAATAGGAAATTTACCAGGTGAATCAAACAGTATGTGTTAGGGCAATAGCAAGCAAGGATTGGGCTTTTGTAGGGCAACAATGGGCAGTGAGATTTGAACAGCAGAATCACAGAGCTGAAGGACTGTATGCTGTGGATTGCAGATTTATTCATTTATCTTTCTATGCTCCATCTTCAATAAATGTCTCTACCACTAGATGGATACATGTACACACAAGGTGCTACATGTAAGAAACTATATTTCCTCCCTGACTGGTGTAGCTCGGTGGATTGAGCATGGGCCTGTGAACCAAAAGGTTGCTGGCTCGATTCCCAGTCAGGGCACATGCCTGGGTTGCAGGCCAGGATCCCAGTGGGGGACATACGAGAGGCAACCACACATTGATGTTTCTCTGTCTCCCTCCCCCTCTGTCTGAGAATAAGTAAATAAAATCTTTAAAACAAAAAGAAACTATATTCTGAAGAACTATTAAATTAATTCTCCAAGATTACCTGTTTCAGAGCTAAGAATAAGCGTAGGTCCTCACATACTGCAGTGCTATTTATTTCACAGTTCAGTTATGGCTGGCATTGGTTCATATCTCAGTAGTCCCCAGACTCACAGCCAAGGAATAATAACTTTATTCATTTATAAAAATATAAGTATGTATTAGATTGCTTTAAAATGTTTTTAAAGGAAGAATAATGTGTTTTTAGGCAGCTGATCAGGTGACGGTTTGTGAAGCTTAGATTGCAGTGGGAGAGACTAGGGGCCAGGAGGTGTCTGGGCTCTACCTCAGAAGTCCAAGTGAGAGCCTGTTCTGACTAGGTTTTAAGGCTTTTGAGAGGAACTTTTAAAAATACTGTTTACACAGAACCTTGCAATTTGCAAAACAAAATCTTGCTTGTTATCTCATTAGCTTAACTTTTTTACCATCTAAATTTTTTCTAAAATGGTCTTTTGTTTGACCTTATTCAATTTTATCCCCCAAATAAAACTATAAAAAGTAGTGCAAGAATTATTTATCCCAGGCTCATAGATGACACCTTAATTTTTTTTTAATATGAAACACTTCATGAATGTATGTCATACTTGTGCAGGGGCCTTGCTAACCTTCTCTGAATTGTTCCAATTTTACTGCGTGTGCTGCCGAAGCGAGCACAGAGACCTTAATCTCTCACTAAAGATCACAAAACTAGAAATTGGAAGAACTAGGGCTTATCCTAAAGGGTCCTTGAGTCTCTGTTGTCTTGACATAGAAGATCATGAACTCCTAAAATAATTATTTTGATCTTTCGGATATAAAGCTATGTTTTTATCATATTGGGAATATCTGTGTTCATGTAATATACTCTTTTGATGACGTGTAACTAAATTATTAAGACTGCGGCCCTGGCTGGTGTGCCTCAGTGGATTGAGCACCAGCCTGTGAACAAAGGGGTCACCAGTTCGATTCCCAGTCAGGGCACATGCCTGGGTTGTGGGCCAGGTCCCCAGTTGGAGACATGTGAGAGGCAGCCAGTCAGTGTATCTCTCACACATCGATGTTTCTCTTCCTTTCTTTCTTCCTCCCTTCCCATCTCTCTAAAAATAAATAAATGAAATATTTTTTTAAAAAAGGCAAAAACATTTTTTTTAAAGAAATGAAAACATTGGAGCCAGATGACTTGGACTCAAATCCTGGTTCTACCATTTACTAGCATTATATCCTGAGGCAGATAACTTAATCTCACTGTGCTGAGCTCACTATTTGCATCTGTAAAATGGGGGAAAGAAACAAAGGGTTATTGTGAGAAGGCATTAATGCCTGTAAAGTGCCAGATAGAACCATGCCAGAGTATATTTGAATCACTGTAAAAGTGTAAATTGTTGTTATTGATGATGATGTTATTCTGATTAAAGCATTAAGGCTTAGTCATATAAATAATAGCTGTTCTAAGTGACTCACTGAAGTGTAACTTGGATGATTAAAGCAAATTTTTCAACCCCCAAAATGCAGTTGCTTCTAATAATAGACAACATTTATTGAACACCTATGGCCAGGCATTATTCTAAGCTCATTTACGTAACAGTCCTGTGAGGTTAGTGCTAATATTATTCCCATATAAGATGTGAGGAAAGTGAGGCATTGAAATGTTAAATAAATTGCTTCAATAGCCCAGTGAAGTTTGGATCCAGGTTCCATGCACTCTGGGGCCGGAGGCTGCACTCTACTGCCTCTCAGAGAGACACAGACAGAGAACAAAACCAAAGTCAAAGAACAACAAGAAATTGCACTGGGACCTGAACTTGGCAACTTTCATTTCCTATTATCTAAATCTTGAACTCCAACATAGACAATTGTGGGATAGAAACAGATAAAGATACTGAAACTTACCTTTTTACAACACTTCAGTGCGTATTGTTTTGAGAAGCTAACATGTGCCAGGCAGTTTCAAACTAGTTATCTTAGTTAATCCAGTGATGCCCATATTACAAGCCCTACTCTACTAATAAGGTGCTAAGACTGAGAGATAGTTACAGCTGGTCAGTTACAGCTGGTAGGTGGTGTGACTGGGACCCAAACCCAGTTTTCTTTGCCTCTGAAGCCCATCTTCTCTTCACTAGGTAGTTCACATAGGCAGCTTTTCTTGAAATATCAGAAATATCACTGTCATCTATTTGCTCAAATAGCAAATATTCATTAAGGGTCTTTTGTATGTCAGACAATGCTGTGCGTAGAGGACTCAGTGATGAGCAAAACTATCCGAGCTTCTTAAAGGGCTTAAGATGTTCCAGGACAGTGTTCACATCCACTTGCTGCCTTCAGAAGCTCAATAGTTAGGTTGGAAGAAAGGAGTAAGAGATGGATAGGAAGAGATAGTGCTGTGTTTTTTTCCTCTTTTTAAAAAGATTTTTATTTTTAAGCCCTGGCTGGCGTGGCTCAGTGGATTGAGTGTGGGCTGCGAACCAAAGCGTCGCAGGTTCGATTCCCAGTCAGGGTACATGCCTGGGTTGCAGGCCTCGGCCCCCAGCAACCGCACATTGATGTCTCTCTCTCTCTCTCTTTCTCCTTCCCTTCCCTCTCTAAAAATAAATAAATAAAATCTTTAAAAATATATTTTTATTTTTAGAGAGAGGGGAAGGGAGGGAGAAAGAGAGGGGGAGAAACATCAATGTGAGAGAGAAACATCCATTGGTTTCCCCTGGTCCACACACCATCCCCCTTACCACCACCACTGGCCCAACCCAGGCATGTGCCCTGACCAGGAATCAAACCAGCAACCTTTTGCTTTGTGGGACGACACCCAGCCAACTGAGCCACACTGGTCAAGACAGTGCTGGGTTTTGCTTTGATTTTTTTTTAAGATTTTATTTATTTATTTTTAGAGAGGGAAGGGAGGGAGATAGAGAGAGAGAAACATCAATGTGCAGTTGCTGCGGGTTATGGCCTGCAACCCAGGCATGTACCCTGGCTGGGAATCGAACCTGAGACACTTTGGTTCACAGCCCACGCTCAATCCACTGAGCTATGCCAGCCAGGGCTGATTTTTTTTTAAAGAAGTAGCTGACCTCTATTCTTGCTACGCACCTGGATCTTTAACCCTGTCCAGTTTCATAATTTTCTGCTTTGATGGAAAGCCAGCTTGTGTTTCCTTTGTTCTTATCTCTTTCTCTATCCCGTTATAGATACTAAGGGTCAGTAAGAACAACTCAGTTAAAAATTGGGTAAAGATCTCAATAGGCATTCTCCGAAGACATGCAAATGGCCAGTAAGCACATAAAGATACTCAGCCTTATTAACCATTAGAGAAATGCACATCAAAACCATAATAAGATCCTACTTCACCTACTAGGTGTGAAGACAAATAATAACAGGTGCTAACAAGGATGTGGAGAAATTTGAGCTCTCATATCTTGCTGGTAGGAATGTAAAGTAGTACAGCCAGTTTGGAAAAACAGTTTGCAGTATTATTTAGTGACTAATCATTATGTACCTGTCACTGTAGTAGACACTTTAAAATATTACCTCATTTATTCTGACAAAAAACAGAGCAGCAGCAGTAGTGGAAGTAGTAATATCATCTATCGTTTATTGAGCACTTATTTGTTAGGAACCGAACAGAGTGTATTATCATCATCTTCCTCATAATAAGGCATTATTGTTATCTCCATTTTGCAGATGCAGGACCTGAGTATTGTAAAAGTTAATTCACTTGCCCAAAGGCTTAGGGGCAGTAAGTGCCACAGTAAGGATTTGAAGTCTTACGTATTTGACTCACATGCGTGATCATGCCACCCTGTCTCTGCTAGAGATAATTGGTATCAAACCATGGAAAAACAGAACTTTAAAGAAGTCTAACTTGTCATAGAGCATCTAACCTATACGTAGAAGAACCAAGATGTGAACCACTGTCAGACTCTAACATCCAGGCTTTCTCCTCTATTCAGGTTGTACTAACTAGTTATTCACTAGGCCCCTGGGGATCCATGACAGTTTTCATTGCTCTGTGGGAAATGTGAAAAATAATAACCACATCGGGAATTTAATGTAAAGGATTGCTCTTTAAGACTGTGCCTTACCCAAATTTCTAGTGTTGAAAGGGCTCTTCCCATGTGACATTATGGTAATAGTATATGGTAGTAGATGGAGGAGAGGACTTCAAAGGGTTGGACCCTCTGAAATCACTGGTATTTGACCATTTCTTTAACTTACAAAATGGCAAATTCATATGTTCCAACCCAATATTTCTTTGGTCTCAATTTCCTGGTGAGAAAAGGTAACTCTGTGTCCTCAAAGTTATTTGAAAATTTTCTGGTCTGTGAAATTCCAAGGTCTGAGAAAAATCTACTTGCTTTGTGTGGTGTCCCCCGACATGAGAATACTTTGCAAATGATACGATGAAAACAGACAAGAAGAAAGATTAGTGGAAGCTGGCTGTTATTGTAAACCTTGATAAGTGGAAGCTTGATATTGTCACTAATTTAAAAAAGAACATGAGAAAACACAGATTTGTGGGAGAAGATAATGAGCTCAGTGCAGAATTTTAACTTTTAAGGGAATAACATGCCATGTGACTTCTGACACAGGTTCTCTTCTATCGATTTGCTTACAGATTCTTCCTAGGTGTTTTTAAAGTGCTGGCATCCAAGTTTGGAAATATAGTCTAAAATGCTGCATTTCTAATGATTATAGGCTTTTTGTTAGGTCTTCCAGGCTGGAATTCTCTGGTAGAAACAAGTTCCTGAGCTGTGTGCTCAAAATCCATTGTTACCCCCAATTTGCACTGTGTCAAGAACTGCAGAATTTCTGGAAGCAAATGTCACTGCGTGAATCTTATTCTCTGTTTCGCATCCAGCATGAAAACTGCATTTATAGCAAGAGTTCAGGAAATTCCCGTAAGGAGCAGGAGAGAATGTGTCTGAGTCAGCATTGGCCTTCCATTTGCATCCGTATGCAAATTGCCAGTGGCAGAGTTCAAGTGCATTCAAATATGTGATATTTTTCACAGCTCATTGTACTTTATATCTTGTATTTTTGAAAATCACTTGAGATTTGTCTACATGATAAATTTCCCTTTCCTGGTCATAAAAAAAGATAGTAGATCTACAGTCAAGTCTACTTCCTTCACGAGTCACCAGAGAAAAGCTTTTGGCTTTTCCTCCATTCTCCTCCCCTCTGCATTGTAAATGAAGATAACAGAGAGAGAAAACAGAGCAGGTGAAATAATCTCATGAATTCAAACACAGCAGAAATATAGATGCATATTTTTAACACAGATCCACACCTTTGATGTTCAGTAACTTACTTTCACTCCCATCCACTTGAACTGATCCATTCTAGAGGCCTGTTACTCGACTTAAAATTCAACTTGCCAAGAGGAAGCTATTGCTTATCAGATTTTTCTAAATTGAGGAAGTAACCTTATAACCATAATTAATTGTACCAAGGGCCCAGAGAAGGAAAATGTCATGCCAGCTCAGACCCCAGCACTCAGACTCGTTTATCTGTCAGTCTCCAGTGCCCTGTCCTGGGAATCCCAAAGCTTCTTGGGAATCCAGGGCTGCTGAGGCACTGTTCTTTGAGTCTGTCAAGTTTTCACTTGCCTGAGAAAGCCTTATTTGCTGACATAATTTTAAGACCCTATAATCTAAAAGCTACGGTGATTGTTTTGTCTTTCA